TCTTAAAATGAATTTTAAAATCCTCCAAGCAACCTCAGGGTCACTTGGATGTGACCAGCTTGAATGAGGGCACCCACTTTCTTCGACCCCACAGCTGTGGCTGTGAGTGAGTGAACCCTGAATGTGTGTGTGTCTGTGTGTGGTTGTAGGCGTGTTTTGACTCAGTTCAGCTCATCTCCTTACACCAAGGTCTTTGGTTACTGGTGTCACTTTTTAAAGCTCCTTCAGTTAGAAAATGTGGAATATTATCCAAGGAAAATGCACAGAAGGTAAAAGGAAAATATGGGAACAAGCTTCTAGAGAAGGTTGGCATGAGTTTCTCTCTTCTGGAACTTTCCTTCTCCTCATCCCTCGGAATGAACCAGAAAATGTAGTGAACAGAGATGGGGCTTGCTGATGGATTCTTACAGCTACAGAAGGTCTTCTCAGAGATTCCTCTCTTCTATGGGATTAATCCATAATAGGGCTGAGGGACCAAACCAAGCAGGATGTGGTTTAGAAGCCAGCTGCTTTCTGCTCCTCCGGAATAAGTGAAGGCATGAATAATCTAGCACTAATCTTTTTTTTTCCCCCCACAAAAGACAATACTACCAAATTTGGAGACACGCAGAGTTTCAACTTGAGTTGGTGTGTGAAGTAATTCTATTTCTAAAGTCATTAGAGGGTGTAGTAAGTAATCGATTAGTCCCTAGTGCCATTTTTATTTCTTCGGATCAACAAAGTTCATACTCCATCCAGGCATTATGTCTCTTGCCTTTTTTTTTTTTCTTCTCTTGTCTCCTGGCATTTTAATCAGGGAAAATCACAGTTGTTTTGAGGAAAGCGCTCCCAGGAGCTTTAATTAAAGCTAGAAGGATAAATCTGTTTACAGCGCGGTGAACACCATCATTAATAAAACATCGAACTAATTAACGAATTAAATTCTGCTTTGTGTGTGAATGGCTATACTAGGATTTAGGATAACATGTCTTCTGATCAGACACATACTCTATGCACTTAGTTTGCAGATGTGAAAAGAAAAATCTGAGCCTGCCTTTCTCCGAGATCCACTGTCTCTAGCAAGACTGCCAGAGCTTGAATGCGGAAGGCTATGTTACCTTTGTGCAAGAATGCTAAGTCACTTCAGTTGTGTCCGACTCTTCGTGACCCATGGACTGTAGCCTGCCGTGGAGTGGAGGGCTACATGTGATCACGTGAAAATGTCCAACTCGGGACTTTCCTTCATGCTCCTCCTAACTACACAGACCCTTGCCAGGTTCTTAAGGTTTCTGCCAGGCTCCTCTGTCCATGGAATTCTCCAGGCAAGAATACTGGAGTGGGTTGCCCTGCCATCCTCCAGGGGATCTTCCCAAGTCAGGGATAGCAAACCCATGTCTCCCGCGGCTCCTGCACTGGAGGTGAGTACTGATGCTGAGCCACCTGGGACGCTTACGTTGCCCTTATTTTATAGGAAAATTAAACTCAGTGTCAATGAGGTTGATGGCTTGGGCTCAAAGGATGTGCTTGAAAATTAAGAATTTTTTATAGCACCACTGGTAACACTGATTCCTCGGAATCCTTGACTGCTTAACCAGAAACAAAAAGAAGATAAAGATGAAATGAATAGAATAGTAAGATCAGTAGTTCTAGGATACAGACCAGAATGGGGGGGAGGGCAAAGTTCACGGGGTGATTTAACTCTGCAATAGACAAGAGGAGGTTTTTGCCTCTCAGGATACAAAACGGCCTTCAGACCAGGATGTGACCACGTGAAAACGTCCAGGTCGGGACTTCCCTTCATGCTCCTCCTCACTACACAGCCCCTTGCCAGGTTCTTAAGCTTTCTGCCAGACAACAGATCCCACAGGAAGCGCCACAGAGGACGTCCACACCAGCGGTTAACGATGCATTGTTTTTTTATGTCACTCGGTAATTTCCTAAAGAAAACAATCGAACCAAAGACTGTTCCTGTCTTGAGGGAGAGTCAGCTTCCAGGGCTGCCTTATTAATTTAACACATGCAAGTGTTTGTCCTTGTTGCTACAGCGACATGTTTGGTGGGATACATTTCATGTAAAATGTGACAAAGCTGAAAAAGAAAACAAATTCCATCCGCATTCCCTGCGCATACAAATGGGACTGTCAGGTGTGGAGGGGTCCTCTGGGTTTGGGGGGAGGTGGGGGTAGGTGCCTCCTGCCCTGCGTCTCCCTTATGCTGTGCTTGTGGCTTAATTTATTAGGCATCCACCCAATGAAAGCAACCAGCCCATTGCTTCTAAGGAGTTTCAGAAAAGCTGGAAACACATGAAATTATTCATAATTAGGTGATGGGTGGATGATAAGAGCTCCCACTATGTACACAGACGCATCTAGCATGGCAATGAACTCGCTGAGCTCCTTGCCGCTGCCCCCCACCCCCGCAGGAGATAACCATCATTTTCCCTCCAGGTGAACTGTCGTTGACATTCACCTCCCTGGGGGATGGATGAGCAAAGGCCCCACATTCTCAGTTTAGAAACAGGACACCCCCAAACCATCCCACGTGAGCTTTCTCAGCAGGAGGAAAAGTATAAAAGGAGACCGATGCCTCACAGGATTCCTATACATGCCTCCTGAATGTATAGGAATCAGTGACGAAAATGAAGCACACGGAGTCCAACAGACCTCGCCTCCAAGCCTCTGATCTCGGGGCATTTACTCATCTCTTCGAATCTTGGGCTCCTCATTTTAAAAATGAGGATAGCTAGATCTCCGTCATAGGGCTGCTATGAGGATTAAATAAAAATGTGTCAAGAACCCAGCTGAAGTCAGGGCACATAGTAAATACTGTGTACATTGCAACGACCCTGTGAATGACACATGTCATTTGTGCTGGCACCAAACACTTCTATCTGTTCTCCCTCCCTCCCTTGTCGCCCCTCAGAAGTTAAGTGTGGCCCTGGGAGGCGCTTTGGCAATGAATATGGTGAAGCACTCCTGGACACAGCATCAGGAGCCAGTGTGCTTGGCCATGCTCCCTGCCTCTGTCTGTCTTGGTGGCAGGTTCTGGATGATGACTTTTCCCTCCAACTAAGTTCCAGTGTGAGAAGATGTGGGACAGAGGGCACCACCAACACCAACCAGACAGGACTTCCCTGGTGGCTCAGTGGTAGAGAATTCACCTGTCAATGCAGGAAACACAGGAGACCCAGGTTTGATCCCTGGGTGGGGAAGATCCCTTGGAGAAGGAAATGGCAACCCACTCCAGTATTCTTGCCCAGGAAATCCCAAGGACAAAGGAGCCTTGCGGGCTACAGTCCATAGGGTCACAGAGAGTTGGACATGACTGAATTGACTTAGCATGCATGCAGGCATGCCGACCAGAGATTCGGGAGGTACAATTAGCAAAAGGCAAACCTTCTTGCCTGGGGGGTTTTGGTTACTTAGCATATCTGAACCATACTTTGATAGAGAGCTGAACCATTTGAGATTTTTCTTCTGGGGCCATCTTAAATGGCACCTGACTCCTAAGAGCGATGTAAACTCTATCCCACTGACAAATGCTTTGTGAGCACCCATTCTGTCTCTACGCTTCTGACAGAAATCCTTGCCCAGAAGAATTGCTACCGTTGCATTTTCCAAACTCTTGCAAGACCACCATCCCTAAATTATTGAGTTTTCTCCATGTCACCAAGAAGACGACTATATTACCATGCAAACTTGCTTAGCTCTGCAAAACGTAAGCAACCCTCTAGAGGCAGGTCAATCACACTGAATTGCTGACTGGTCGGGGGATGTGGAAAGGCAAGTCTTCAAGAGCTCTTTTGACGTAGGCAAGCTCATTTCATTTCTGACTTCATGGAGAGCTGGATACAGAGATCCCAAGCTAACTGCCTCTTCTTTTCCCACCCTCCACACACTTCTCAGTGTTATCATTTTGAGGTTAGTGTGAGTTCAGCCTCCTGAAATAGGCCATTTCACTTTAAGTGTATGTTAAACTAATATTGACCTTTCCAAAGTAAAACAAAATCTGGTATTTGTGCTCAAAAGACTGAAACAGCCGTAGATGTAGAAAGGAGGGGATTAATCATCCTGGTATTTTCTTCTTGCTTAGGAACTCTCCTTGGGAATTAGTCATTTTTATATATCTTGAAATGAGTGCAAGACAGGCTCTGCCTACACTCCTGAAAAGGAAGTCTGGATCCTTCAGCAAAAAATGTTGGATAATTTGCCCACAGTTGAACCCACACAGCCAGATATGATGTTTGATTTGACAGTGGGTGAAAAAGTCAAGAACCTGAACAACAGGCCTTGGGTGAGAGTGTCCAGACATCAAGGTTGGGCAAATTTAGACTTTGGGAGTGATGCCAGGGATGAGCTGGGAGACAAGTCCAGGTGGGGGTGCAGAGGAGGGGAGCCTGTGGAGGGTGGAAGGGTGAAGGCAGGCGGGGAGTATCAAAGTGGGGAAACAGAACCGACATCACTACTAAGGACGGAGATGTGTACATTTCATATGTATGTGCCTGTACGAAATCCACAGACACCAACACCCTCAGTTAAACCACCTTCTGGGCACATGCTACGTGTACACCAGTGTGAGAAAGTAAACCTCAGCCTCGTTCTTCTCTTCTTCTACCTTGAGAAAACAAACAAAACACTTTATCAAACAATGACTTCATGCACAGCTGTAAGTACAGTTAAGGTATTTCATTAAGGAAATAAAAATCTGTTGAAGTAGGAAGCACATCAATAGAAAATGTGTAGCTGTTGGGAAAAAAAAATCGTATCTTTGAGTTGTTATCCAAGTGAGACATCTGTGCTCAGATTCTGTTAAGAGTCAAATGTGAATACCTGAGAAGCTAAATAGGTTTTCAGGGAAATCACCTGGGCTTTTCTCTGATCCTGTGAATTCTGCAGAGTAATTACATTTGGTGTCCCCTTGTCCTCTTGATTGGAAGGTACTCATGACGGCACATTTCTTTCAACAACCTTTGTAGACAATCCAAACTCTCTACCCTGATGTGCCAAGTAGAAGCCACATACCTGAATCCACTCTCTGTAGGAATCCTCTCCCGGGGTCCACCCATTCTCAGGATAGTGGAGGCGGGAGCGTTCAGCAGACCAGTTGGTGCTGTACTGGGAAGAAGCTGTGATCTGGTCAGAGTGGATCTCTCCAGATTCCATGCCCAGAGCTTCCATACATTTGAAGTCTGAAGGGAAAAAACAATGGTCCAAAGTCAGAAAAATGCAGGGGAACCTAAGATGCATATTTTCTTTTTTGATCTGGAAAACTAAAAACTATTTTGATGTTTACACAAGGGGCTTATTGGATTGTAGCAGTGATATGTGCATTTTCATGGCAAGAATTCTTCAAATCAAGGCTATAAAGATCTCATACTTGATTATTTTTCCAACTGGGCTTAGGGTGACATAAATACTATTAGAGACTTTTTAGGAAATGATGGATATTCCGATTTACTTTCAAAGTTATCATATGCAGGTATGTCATATGCGTACACATCAGGTTATATTTAAATAAAATTTTACTATTTCCTCTAAGATCTAATAAAAGTGAAAAAGACTCTTTGTCCATTTACAGCTCCTATTTGGTGGGCTGAGTAGAACCTGACTCTCTGTCTTTCAGACGCCTTAACACTGGCGCCCAGGCTTCCACTTCAGACTCCACTGTGTTATTCCCCTGCCCTGACCTGGCCATAGTTAATAACATCACTAGTTTATCTTATTAGTATACAAGAGTGTCCATCGGGGGTAAACTGTAGTGTCATAGCGTCTTAAAGACCACCACGGTTTTACAGCATAAACAGTAACATTCACAATAATGTCCATGAATCATAAATACATATATTCCATTAGGCCTCATACACTCAACAAAAAAAGAAATAGGAACTGTGATATTGGGAAGTGAATAATTAAGTTCAGGAAAATGTGACTTCAAAGTACCAAAGTGCAAAGTACCAAAAGTACCTTCAGAGATTAAAGAGAAGGCTCTCAGCCATCCAGAAAAACCTCAACCAATGAAACTTCTACATTTTCTGTATTTTCTAGCATAATTAATAATGTTTTATGGCATAAAAGATTTTCTTTCACTGGTTTCACACTTCTAAGCTTTAGATTTGTTATTTAGAATATAAAATAGACACAAAAATACATGAATGAGTTAACCAAATAAATAAGTACAAAGAAGATTTTGAAGTTTAATTGGCTTTTTTTTTTTCTTTTCTAGTAAGATCTGGCAGAAAAGACATGAGCGTATCTGTAAAAGAGGTCTCCAAACTCCCCTGCCTTCTCCCTGTGCTATGTGACAACCTAGCAGCTAACACTGAAGAAGGCAATGGCACCCCACTCCGGTACTCTTGTCTGGAAAACCCCATGGACGGAGGAGCCTGGTAGGCTGCAGTCCATGGGGTTGTTAAGAACCGGACACGACTAACTGACTTCACTTTCACTTTTCACTTTCATGCATTGGAGAAGGAAATGGCAACCCACTCCAGTGTTCTTGCCTAGAGAATCCCAGGGACGGGGGAGCCTGGTGGGCTGCTGTCTATGAGGTCACACAGAGCCGGACACGACTGAAGAGACTTAGCAGCGGCAGCTAAAACTGATGAAACCCAAATCATTCATTGCTCTTTCAGGTTTTCTCCCTTGGGCTTTTAAAAAAGCTGGACACCACATCAACTTTGAGCAAGGACTGAGTTAGTCAAATATTTTAATAAGATACAAAACCATATTACTTCTTTTCTCTTTCATGGAAAGTAATCACAGAAATTGAAACATGATTCTTTTAGGTGAATATCCACCTTTCATTCATCTAAGAAAGAAAAAAACAGCTTATGCCAGGGTCTCTCCAAATCAAACTACCACGCCCCATCCATTCTACCTGCCTGCCCATCAGTGAACTATGTTGATACTGACTGGTCCTTATTATCAGAGATCGATACTTGTGCTTTCCTGACTCTCAGTCCAATACACACCAGGGGGTGCCAGGTAGGTGGTCTGGTCATATTTCATTGTTTCTAGGTGTAGTTTTGCCATTTCCCAATTTTTTCTCACATAATTTCAGAGGTTTACAAGCAGCCTTCTCACACATAATTTTCTTAAGAAAGCACTCCAAATAGTTCTTTCTGTTGATATTCCTATAAACCATTTAAAAGAGAAACACTTGGCACTCCAACTCACAAAACAAATCTTTAGTGTTTCATAGAGCCGCAGGTGTGTGAGGAGGAAGAGCAGAGAATATTTAAGGCAGGGCTTTGCAAGAGGCATCAATACCGACCTTCTGAAACACTGCTCTGCAGGACACTGTAGTTTGCCGAGAAGCCTTCTTTGGCTATGGCGCTGTCCGTGTAGAACACCATGGACAGGATGCCGGACGACGAGAGGATTCGACCTGGTGTCTTCTGCCCACAGTATCGCCCAATGTGGGGACCAACTGCAGAGGGAGAAATGCAGAGACCGTGAAAACACCTTTTCTGCCGCAGCTCATGCCAGCAAAACCATTTGCAGACATGGGTCCCAGTGGAACCCAGAAGTGTTTTCTTACCCAAAGCAAGCCTTCCCTGGTTAATTGGTTTGCGGTGAACATACTGGATCAGGTTTGCGGAGAGGATTTTCAAGTGTGCTCAGAAGGGCAATGACAGGCGTAACCACATTCCCCTGTGAGCAGGACTGTTTTCAGGAACAAAATCAAAATACTGGCTTCAATTGCAAAGGCGATTTGGACTGCCAAGTGCACCCTGGCATTTAGCTCCAGGACCACATGGTGTACACAGTCCAGCGCCCAGCAACTCCGCCAGGCTGTGATCACCCAGCGAGGGTTCTTGGAGTTGCCTGTCCTCCCTGCCCCCAACCTAGGAGGGGATCCTGGGAAAAGTCCTGGACCAGAGCGGTCCTGGCAACAGAGCAGAACCAAGGTCTGACCACATCCTGGGTAATCCCCACTTTCTTCCTCTTTCATCTTTCAGTCCTGGAGCCTCATTATGACAAACATCACAAACTTAGACAAGTGACAGTGGGTGATGCATCTAAAGATCAAGAATTGTAATAATTAGCAAATTTAGAAACTATAAATATCAGTACACATAATAGCAAATTGTAATCAAAACAAAGGAAAAATGCATCTTTCTGACTTCTGTCTCAGTTTTTCATGTCCCAAACCTTAGAGAGGTGACTACATGGCACTTGTGTCCAGTGGACAAGAGAGGACCCAAATCAGCCATCTGACTGCACACCGGGAAACAGGCAGTATCAGAGGCAGAGAAAGACTGGGGACACCGACGAATTTGTGATGGAGTCAAATTGTTATTTGGCTTAAACTGGCCAGCACTTTGTTGAAGTGCTTTCACACGATTCATGGCAATTCAGCAACTGTAAGTTGCCTTATGGACAGTGCGGAAGCCCTCTGGGCTTGGAGAATCTTTTCATTTCTCTGTATAGATAAGCATAAGACCAAAAAAAAAAACCACCCTCCTTTTTCTCTAAAATTTTTTTCATCGCACATATGGTAAAAACAAACCAGATGGTTTGGGCTTAGAAGAACAATCTGGTATAGACCATTTTCCCCTAAAAGAAATCCATGGTTCTGTGCATTTCAACTAAGAGTTATTGCTTTGTTCAAGGAGGCACGGTAGGTGGACTTTTCTCTGGAGGGATGGGTCATGGGCAGGGGTGTGGGGATCCAAGGCCAGTGAGTGCCACTTAGATGCAGAAGGCAGTCGGCGAGGGCTGGGAGAAGCTTCACGTGTGATGGAGAAAGCGAACACCATAAGATGTGGCCTACCTGAAGCCCCACGTGCCTGCTGAGTTACTTAGCCAGTGGCTGTCTGAACACCCTGCTTTATAGAGTGATCAAATCCTGGGCTAACAGGATTTTAGTTCTTGGCCAACCATCTTTAAAAATTAAAAGGAAAGAAAAGAAAAAAAAAACACTAAACCAAAGTGGTTGACTATTTGAGCTAGTGCAAAATGCTACGTTTGAATAGCTGATAACTTCTCCATGCGCCCAAAGTAATGGATCTGCCAAACTCTGTCATCCCTCACTCTCCTGCACCCAAATATTGGTGTGTGTCACCCGCTTCATTATGAAGAAGACAAGGAGGCTGCTCATTTCGGGGATGGGTACAGATGATCCAAAGTGCACCACAGGGTCCTGGCAGTGGCTCTGCAGAATGGGGGGGAAAGGTCAAGGTACCAGGTTTCCCAGTTGGCAGAAGACAGCCTCTCAGATGAAACTCTCACTGATTTTTGTTTCTCTCCAGTTTTAATCCTGGCCTCAGATTCTCCTACACCAAGTGCTGGCTCTTGGCCAGGCTTTCTTCATTCTGAAGGTAGCCCTGTCACCAATTCAACACTTTCCCCTTCCCCTGTGGGGTGCAAAGTTGCCAGAAACATACGCATGAAAATATCTCACTAGAGCCATAAACTCAGGTCTTTGCTTTCCTCAAAAGGAATCCCATTTCTGGTCTGCAGTCTTAATGGGAGGCTTAGAGTCTAAATATCTACTTCTGCTTTATTGACTATGCCAAAGCCTTTGACTGTATGGATCACAACAAACTGCGGAAAAGTCTTAAAGAGATGGGAATACCAGACCACCTGACCTGCCTCCTGAGAAATCTGTATGCAGGTCAAGAAGCAACAGTTAGCACTGGACATGAAAGAACAGGTTGGTTCCAAATTGGGAAAGGAGTACATCAAGGCTGTATATTGTCACCCTGCTTATTTAACTTATGTGCAGAGTACATCATGAGAAACGCTGGGCTGGATGAAGCACAAGCTGGAAATCAAGATTGCTGGGAGAAATATCAACAACCTCAGATACACAGATGACACCACCCTTACGGCAGAAAGTGAAGAGGAATTGAAGAGCCTCTTGATGAATGTTAAAGAGGCGAGTGAAAACTGGCTCAAAACTCAACATTCAAAAAACTAAGATCATGACAACCATTCCCATCACTGCATGGCAAATAGATGAGGAAACAATGGAAACAGTGAAAGACTTTATTTTGGGGGACTCCAAAATCACGGCAGATGGTGACTGCAGCCATGAAATTAAAAGATGCTTGCTCCTTGAAAGAAAAGCTATGACCAGCCTAGACAGCATATTAAGAAGCAGAGACATTACTTTGCTAACAAAGGTCTATCTAGTCAAAGCTATGGTTTTTCCAGTAGTCATGTACTGATGTGAGAGTTGGACTATAAAGAAAGCTGAGCACTGACAAATTGATGCTTTTGAACTGTGGTATTGGAGAAGACTCTTGAGAGTCCCTTGGACTGCAAGGAGATCAAACCAGTCAATCCTAAAGGAAATCAGTCCTGAATATTCACTGGAAGGACTGATGTTGAAGTTGAAATTCCAATACTTTGGCCACCTGATCCACTCCTTGGAAAAGACCCTGATGCTGGGAAAGATTGAAGGCAAGAGGAGAAGGGGTCAACAGAGGATGAGATGGTTGGATGGTATCACCGACTGGATGGACATGAGTTTAAGCAAGCTCTGAGAGTTGGTGATGGACAGGGAAGCTGAGCATGCTGCAGTCCATGAAGTCCCAAAGAGTCGGACAAGACTGAGCAACTGAACTGAACTGAACTGAGAGTCTATTCATCTTCCCTCACTCTTTCCTCTCATTTAAATTCCATTGTTGTGGTTTCATAACTTTCTTTTTCTTGTGTTTGTGGGCAAACTTTTATAGCCTTAATCTTTGGGGTCGTTCTCGACTCGCCAAAGCCACTGACCTTACCAGGAATACAGCACACAAGGGAAGCTTGCAGTCATCCCGGTTCCCCTCCCCCCCACCAGCTCTGGCTGCATCCCCTCCCCTCCACCATCACCCAATTCCCCTGGGGATGGCGGGAAAGGGGGTCTCTTTGAAAGAGCAAACAGAAGAGAACTTGTCTAGTGCAGACTCATAATTTAGAGAGTCTCCATGACTCACTGGTTTATAATGTTGAAGACATGCCTGGTAAATCTGCCTTCTGTCCTTCTGAACATCGCCCCCGGACACCAGCATGCAGCTCTCTTTAGGAACCCTCAAGACTGGAGAGTGAAAGGCTTTTTCGACTATAATACAAAGAAGTATTGAATTTTCCTGAACAACAGCGAGACCTTAGCCTAGCAAGCTAATGCAATATTGATCTGAGTTGGAGCGGCTGCAGGACCCTGATCCGCCTTGTGTGTGTGCTCATTTGTGGATTTACATGATCGCAGCTCTTAGGTTCCCTACTTCCGTTATGGTGGAGCCAAAGACCAAGGCGATGAATGCCAACTGTCCCCAAAACAGAAGTATAATTCAAAAATGGAATGCCTGGTGAATTTGAAAAACAGGCATCAAGCTCTCTCTGCGGGGAGAGCAGGCCTACGATGACCATTGCTTCTCAGGTGTGAAGACAACACCGTATTTGTGCTGCTTGAAATAGGAAATGGCAAAACCCCATTCTTTGTATTTTTCCCACTAATCCCTCCATTAATTAGAACCCTACCTTAGGATCAGACAATTTGGCTCTCTATCACCTTTTTATGAGGAAAAATAGGCAACCATCTACTATAAAGAGGTACTATTAAAATAAGGTTATTTTTGAATAAATAAACACAAAAGGGGATCATTTTAAATAGGTACAAGATCAGCCAAGTCTATTTTTCTTAAAGTAAGCCTTTTGGTGGAGGATATCTGGATTTTGCAACTTTTCCCCAGAAAAAAGAATTGGCACATTTATGTCATTTATATTTTGGAAGGTTTATATCACTGCTATTTTATATTTGTATTATTGATACTGTATATTTATATTTTAGAAGGTTATTTTTAACATAAAATTCCATCCAGCTTTGATGAAGCTTATTCCTAAAATCGTAAAAATAATTCCTAATAATTTGGGAAGTGTAGGTCACAGAGCACTTCCAGCTCTTTCCCCAGCCTGGATGGAGGGCTGGCTTCACAGGCATCCAGGTGCTGTGAGCTAGGCATTCACATTTGGCCCCATAATTCAGCACAAGCATCTGCAGGCACGCTTAGCTCACGGCTCTGAAACTATGTGTAACTTTCACCAGTGACTCCAGAGCTGTTAGTTTTAAGAGACTGCTAGCTGGAGAAGTGGGCTTCTCCACGTACACGTCTTGGATCTCACATTTTGGAGTGAACTGCTTCTCTTCGAAGTCAAGTTGAATCGCTTTCAATCACTTAGTCGTCTAATTCAGTGTCTGTGATAAAATGCCACATGAAATCACTCAATGGTTAAAAGCCTCAGTGCCTTCTGGTTGTTGTTTTTGGAAAGGATACCAAAGAATAAAAATGATTTTGCTGGCAAGGAAATCTGTGTGTTGAACTATAATGACAAATGTGTTCTTGTGCCACTGACAAAAAAATCCAGGACACACTCTCTCATCATGCCTAAAAAAGAGTGAGCTCCGATGCTGGCATAGACAGGGTGAGGCCAGGTGAATACAAACAAATATACAATCACATTTTTTATATTCCAAAGCCAGTTTTCTCTAGGAATAAGTCAATTCACCCAAAACATGGGTGAATTGCAGGCTGACAACCCGTATTGTTAATTGTTCTTCACTTCAACTCGGTGATTTTCTAGAGCCAGAAAATTACTACTTTGGAAAACCCTTGACACTAATAACAATGCTCTCCTTTCTACATAAGTTGGTTGATTGGACCTTCTTTTCAGATGTCAATTTAAATATAAGTTCTAGAAAGGAAGGCTGCAAATTTGGGTTGTGAACAAATAAACCCATTATTAAATGTTCCAACTATTATTGCAATACTATTATAATATTGTTTTCCTAATTATCGGATTGAATACTTGGAAATCAATCAGAGCTCTGTTTGGACAAATCTCATTACTTAATGAGGGAGTTTCAATAAAATCATCATAACCCTATTTATATGGTTAAATAAAGGAAATAAGAGACTCAACTAATGATAACTCACCCATTTGCTCCAATGACATAAGCTTTCTCTAAACCTAGATTTTCTCTAGTGCTGTTTACTACTAAGGAACAAAGCTAAACTGAATGACACTGATCATTTAATGTCACTACTAAAACAAAGGCAATCTCTTTCACATGATATTAGCTTTCGTTCACAATTTACTTTCTTTCTTTCTTCCATCTGATAATATTATCTGATTATTTTATAGGTAGTTCCAAATCTCTAACTGCATGATTTGTAAGAACTTCCACGCTGCCCTTTCTGATCTGCGTAGAGTGTGTTCTCCAGAGAAATCTTACTATTAAACCAGACTAAACACAAGACTAGCGAAGCAGCTGCAACAAATTATTTGATATTATCTCCCTCTGTTCAGAATTTGGGTGTGTATTTTTGCCATTCACCTTCTAATTCATAAGGACTGAAATGGAAAACTTTAATTTAGCTGGCCACATGGCTACTTCTCCCACCTCCTTCAAATCTGGCTTATTTTCTTAATAAGACCTGACCTGACCACCCTATTAAAAAAATTCCACCCGTCTTTCTCTCTTTACCTTCGTTTTTTTATGCTTTCATTCTATTTTTCCTTCTTTTCCTTTTTTTTTGTTTGTTTATAGCACTTCTCACCTTCTAACATCCCATGCACGTGATTCAATTGTCTGTAATGTGCACAGTTTACTACCTCATTCCCTCTGATAGAATCTAAATGGGGCATCTGTCTTTCCTTTGTTTGCCAGGAGATTACTACAGTGCCTGGTACATGGCAGGTGCTAACTAAGTATATTTTTTGAATGGACGATGAACTCAGATGATGTGAACAATGTGTCTCAAGGATGTGTGCCAACCTGATTTGATCCCCCAAAGATAAAAATTCCCTAGAGAGCAGACAAGGAATCCATCTAAATTAGGAATGCTCTCCTCCTTCCTTTCTGAAATTTCTAAATGTGGTAGCATAGTGGGTGTATAGTTCACTGAAAATTTTAGCAGGGACTTAACCTCCCTGGTTCTTAGTCTCTGCATTCGCAAAATGACTGACTTGATTTAATTGATGTCTTAAGAGCTCATCTTCTGATGAGTTTACAAATTAATAACCAGTAGGCAAGCCAATGAAATGAGCAAAATACTTCAGTCAGGAGAACCATGGGTTGCTTCCAATTTTCCCATAGAAAAGGTTATGAGCCCTTGCATAGTCTTTTATGGCCTCTGTTTCCTTACCCACAAAATGAAAGCATTAGACTAGAAAATTACCAAGTCTTCTTAGGCTCAAATATTTCATCACCGCTCTGCACAAAGAAAATGGCTGTTTTTCTTCCTCCTTTTGAGCTACTTTTTAAAGTGATGCATGTATATGATGCTTGTAAAAGGATCCCAGGGCCCCTCCCCTAGATCCTTCCCCTTACGGTTGTTTTGTGCCGTGCTTACCATCAGGGAATCCATCCCAGATTTCTAGCCGGTCATAGCGACAAAACATCCCCCCGGGAGGATTCGAGTCAGGCTCCAGGTCAAAGCTTTCAAATTCCAGAATAATCTCTGACATCTTTGGTGCAAAAATAATATAGGTGCATTCTAGGCTGTTGGGATATTTTTCAGGGAATCCGGGGGACTTTATTACCCCACTAGGCGTTGTGTAGTTCTGGGAACATTCAGGACCTACAAGTGAAAGAAAAGAAGGAGCAGAGTGAAAATTCCACTTAAATAACCTGGGCAAAGACAGTTTATCTTTCCAATAAAAGCCCACCATTATAATTGTTGTCCTAATCACTCATTACACAGCCTTTTCACAGTGGTGATATATACGGAAAGTCGAGTTCAGATTTATTGCATTCACCTTCGTTTTCCATCTGTGTGCAGCAATTTACAAACTTCTGCTGTTGCAGAGGGGGAAGAAAATGACAAATACAAAATCATGTGGGAACAATGAATGAGTAAGCTACAGACATCTCGACAGAGCCCTCGAGAAATAATTATAGCCCCTTCAATCTTAAATCTTTAAATCTTGAGGCTGACAGCTCTTTATTGGTGAAATAGAACATTTACAAAGGCGAGGGAGAGAATCCAGTGGAGGGAATTTGGGTTTCAGATTCCTCCACCAGTGACTCAGTAATTCTGCCAGATGTGACCTTTGCCTCCTTGACAAACTAAATGTGAAAGGTAATTCGTACATGTATGCAGGGTGAGTGACTCATTCGGAATGGTGTTGACACAGGTGTGCCAGTAAAGTGTGGCTGTTGGTGGGGGCATGATAAACTGGGATGCAGGTCCTGGGGTTCCAAGTCACCTGATACCAATGTTGACATCCTAACCTTCCCCAACATACAGTGCAGAAGGGTGTGTGTGTGTGTGTGTGTGTGTGTGTGTGTAAAATGCATATATTTATAACGTGTCATTTAAATGACGGTTCAGTGTTATCAAGACTACAAATTACAGAGATTCGTAATTTAGGTTGGTGCAGAGCATGCATACAGTTACTACAAGTCAACCTTATGAATACATAAAGGACCACAATTTCAGTTCATGGAACTGGCAATGAATAGAGTGCTATCCACCACACAATTGAAAATGGCCCATCCACACAGACTAGCAGACTATCCACGCCAGCCTATCAGCTCTGCCCCTTATCACCACCATAGCCGTCGTGATTGCCCAAGAGCTCTTAGGCGGTCTGGTAAACAGAGATGACTTGACCTTTCTGAATCTCAGGATCCAATCTGGGGATGTTTGGTTAAACCATTCTTTTTTCAAAAAAATATTTACTTATTAATTGACTGTTTTGGGTCTTAGATGCAGCACGTGGCATTTTCATTGTGTCGTGTGGAATCTTTCATTGTGGCCCATAGACTATTGAATTGCAATGCGCAGGCTTAGCTGCTCTGGGACATGTTGGACCTTAGTTCCCCGACCACAGATCAAACCTGGGTCCCTGGCATTGCAAGTTGAATTCTTAACCACTAGACTACCAGGGAAGTCCCAGTTCAACAATTCTTTTCCAGGGCCATTGCCTCACTGATGGGGAATCTGCAAGGGCATATAAGGATTCAAGTTCAAATAGGGAAGCTTGTGGAGCTTGTTCTTAACTAAATATTCTTCCAAAGTGCCAAGTACTAAAGGCAACGTGTTTGGCATCAATATACCTTAAATTTAACTAACAGATCTCTATTTTTAGTGGCCAGGGCTAGTAAGTTGACTCTCCAACTCAGTGCATCTGGCAGAATGTTGAGAAAGCAAATCAATCTCTTTCTCCCCATGCATAAATTAGGCATGGCCCTGGAGACACAGAGGACTACTTAGTAGATGGCACAATAAACCTGGTCCATAGAGGTCTGAGTTGAATAAATATCTCCCAAAGCCTTCTACAATGGGGCTCACCCTTCAGCACATTAGCTTCAAATGCTTATCTATTCAATTCTGGTTAAAAAAATTACTACCAAGTGGCATTTTGCCATGTCAATTTCAAGTAAAGAGACTGTGGAATGTGCTGTATAATTTCTAACATGTTTCTAAGCTATTTGGTGGCATCTGAGATAACAGTCACTATGCCAATTTGTCATTAATTAAAAAGTCATTCATTCATATATAGTTAATTGGGAACCCTTTAGAATTTTATTTCCAAGATGTAGGAACAGAGGCCCTGGAGACCTCCAACCTCCTCGCCAGGGCTTTGGCTGGCAAAGCAAACAGCAGAGTTTAATGTAGTTTCCAATATTTTCTCCTTCTTAAAAAGATAAAATTATACAGTTGAGGTTAAGATTTAATGAGAAAAAAAAAACTTGAATTAAGGGTGCTCTTTCAAAATCAAATAAATTCCAATGCTTTCACGTATATCCTTGTCATATCAGATTCCTTTGGAAGCTGGCCCAGGTTTTCTCAAGTATTTTGACAAAGGCTGGACATTCTGGGCTTCCCAGGTGGCACCAGCAGTAAAGAACCTGCCTGCAAATGCAGGAGATGTAAAAGACGTGGGTTTGATCCCTGGGCTGGGAAGGTCCTCTGGAGGAGGGCAAGGCAACCCACTTCAGTATTCTTGCCTGGAGAATCCCATGGACAGAGGAGGCTGGCAGGCTATGGTTTATAAAGTTGCAAAGAGTTGGACACAACTTGGGACTCATGCATGGGGACATTCCACGGGGAAGTGGAAGCAAACTGGATGGAGCACCAAGAGATTTGTTAACCTGCTGTGTAGCCTTGGTGACCTCGTAATCTTCCTGATCCTCAGATTCTGTGCATCACACATGAGAGATGGGCTTTAGGATTGGAAAATAAAGCCTTTCAAACTCAAAGCTGCTTCTGTAATTTCTTACTTTCTCCATTAGACATCAAACTTTGTTTTAATGGGTTCCTTACTCTTTATTGTACAAGTTTGCCACAGTTGAGGGAGCACTTCCCCCAGTGGATGATGGCAGGAGCGGGCTGAGGGATCCCGGGGTAAATATACAAGCCACAAACAGGACTGGGGGTGAGCAGCCAGGGTGCCCAGGAGGGTGTGAGCTGCTGGGTAAGGGATGCACACACAGCAGGGGCACCCAGTGACCACTCCTTGACCATTATTTGTTAGAATGAGAGCATCCAGTGAAGCCACAAGCATCCCACATTTCGTTGTTAAGGACCATCAGGATGGATAAGGATGATAGCTAAGATATCCTCTCTGGAATTATACTTAAATGTACAGACTCTAAATCAAACAACATATGAAGCCACCAATCCCGCTCTCAATAAACGCCATCCCTTCTCTGACTGAGACCCATAGGAAATGGTACCGCTTCCTCCAGCATCTGGGCCTGGATAAGAGGGGAGGAACAGAGGAAGGGCGGGAGGTGGGCAGGCTGGGGTTTCCTTGAGAAATTCTTTAGCTGAATGGGAATCATTTTAGGGCTGATGGCCCAAGTTTCAGTATCTGTGAAGAGGAGGGGTGTGGGTACCCAAGGAGAGAACTAGGGTGTCCTGGGGAGAGGTGGGCACTGCCCCCTGCCACCCATTGGGCAAAAATGGTCATCTAGAAATGTAGCCTTAGGGATGCAAAAATGGCCCTGTAACCTACTGCCAGAAATCCTCAAGGCCAACAGGTGAATGAATAATGCATTGGTTCAATTATGATTAGTCTAGTTTATGTGTTTTGAAGAAATTTGAAATTGCTGCAGCCTGAAAGAGGTGCTACATTTTCCAAGAACAGAGATTCTATAATATTTATCATGAAATTGTTTTCAAGGAAAGAATGTCCATGAACCTATGTGTGTGTAAATGTATTCTACTAGATCATGACTTTTACTGGCATCTCTGTAAGAACTATAGTATGTGCAACAAAGGAGAAAGATGTTTTCTTTTTCAGGTGGTATTAATTTAGTTGGGAAATGAGACACATATACATGATAAAACTTGAAAATATTTAGGAAAAACACACTGGTAAGCAAAATACAGTTGTGTTTGTATATACACAGATACAGTATCTAAAAGTGTTCATCTGTGTTGTGTAATAGGGGACAAGCTGGGTAAGTGTAGGAAAATGAAAAGTACATTAATTAAGAATAATAAACTTGGAGCCAGGTTTCCATGGAGGTTAAGAGGCTTAAGCCAGAAGAGAGAGAGAGAGTACTGCTCAGTTTGGAGAGACCAGCTTCATGTAACAGTAGTGTGTATGGCATACAGCTTCTGGGACATGCTCTGCTATCCATTTTTCAGATGAGGAATCCAAGGCTCTGAACAGTCACACAGATGGGCAGTGGCCGAATCAAAACTCACCTGCAGATCTGCTGGGCCTCACCCAGCGCACCCACCAACCTGGGACTGGAAGACAGGCCGTGAGTTTGTGCAAGTGAAGCCAGGATGGTTGGGAGCAGCTGATGTCAAGACCCGAGCATGACCTCAGAAGACACTGAGGCTTCACCTGACAGGTGACAAATACCTGTCATAGGCACTCTGGGGATAGTAGTTTGATGATGGTTTGAGAGGCTATGTGTAGGATTAGAGAGAATGGGGATAACCATTAGACAGTTCTATTTGTTCAATGGCAGTAGATGTGGAAAGAAAGCTGTGACACTCTCTTTTTAATTGAGCTACACTTGATTTATAAGATTCAGGTGTACAGCCTGAATTCGGAGTGACTCTCTGAGACTTCTGAATGAAAATCCCAAAGAACTGGCAAGCTATACTGGATATAGGGAGGCAAGAAGAGAAAGAAGAAAATAAGGCTTCAAGTCTCAAGGATGGCATTGGGTAGTGGGGAAAGAGGGGAAATCATAGTGCATCTGAGACTGACAGAAGTTTGAGGGCTGAGTTCATCTGGAAAGAAGCAGAATTCTTAATGACTTAGGGAGGATCTCACTATTTCTCCATCCACCACCTTCAGATCTTTGAGAAACACTGACAATGAAAAGCTGTTTGTACCTCTTTTTCTGACACTTTCTTTCTTTGATGCTGTCAGATGCAGGTAAGCAAGCAAACGCGTATGTTTGTGCGTGCGTGTACCTACACATACGTGGATTTACAGAGGTCAAACAGCTTTCAACACAAGGAAATACATATGTAGTCATGTGAGCCCACTGAAATCCTATGTCTGCTTTTATTTATACTAAAGGCTTTCTAAGCATGTGCTGAGATGAATTTCTGAAGAAAGTTCTCTCCATCTACCCATATTCACATGGGACAGTACCAGAGTTCTTTGAAATTTAAAGAAGTTGTGCCAATGCTCCCAGAAACGTTTAAAGTCCTTTTTAGTTATTCTCAGTGGCCACTGACCCACAAGACCTTAGGCTTTTGAATTTGGTGTGGCTAGATTTTTTTCCACTAAATAAAGCTCTTTTTCATAAATTCCAGGACAATACATTTAAATCTGGCACCTCCGTCCCTGGAGGGTCTCCCACACATTAATGTCAACTTTAAAAGGGAAGGTGGGGCTGAATTCATGGCAGAAATCTACAGGCTGCTGTGGAAAACAGTGACATCCAGATAAAGATACAATTTTTATTAACTGGCTGATATGTGAGTTTAATTCCTCAAAGCTGCGAGACAACACATTCTCAGATTCTATCCTGTCCCAATATATACCATTGTGACAGAGGATGATGGTGCTTTAGTCCCTGAGCCATGTCCGACTCTTTTGACCCCGTTGACTGTAGCCCGCCAGGCTCTTCTGTCCAGGGGATTCTCCAGGCAAGAATACTGGAGTGGGTTGCCGTTTCCTCCTCCAGGAGATCTTCCCAACCCAGGGGTTGAACCCAGGTCTCCCGCATTGCAGGCAGATTCTCTATTATCTTACCACTGAGCCAGGAGGGAAGCCCTGAGAGAAGATTAGTAAGTGATTATTTTGGAGGGGGCAAGGGGATTATTAATTCTGAAGGGGAATGTCATTTAAAGCATTATTATTTTGTTTCCTCCAAGAAGTTCTTCCCCCAACCACGTTTCTGTTAATGGAAAGCTTCTTCCTCCAAAAGTTTTTGAAACTCCAAGGCTAGTGGACTACTGCTTGGCTTTTCCCGGGAGCGACCAGTTTTGAATTTTGCAATAAAATAAAGGGAGCAGAATGTATTGAGCTGGCCAAAAAGTTCATTTGGTTTTTCTATAACATCTTACAGAAAAACCTAAATGAACTTTTTGGCCAGCCCAATACATGATTTTCAGGTAAGAGGGACTCACACAATTTTTAATGAAAGAAATAAAGCTTAAAGAGTAGATCCAACTTATTTTTGAAGAAGAAAGAAAAGAATAAATGCTCTTAAAGGAGCTTTACAGAGTATGTACTTTAAAAACACTGGTCAGTTTAGAATGATGAAATTCTGATTCTTAAAATACATTTAAACAGCTTTTTAAACATACTTCCTAAATATAGTGGGTAACTTTCCTTTGTGCAAAGTACTTTCAACATTTTTTATAATGGGAATATCTGACTTTTTACCAAAAGATTAAAAACATCATTCCTGGTCTTTCTTTTCACTTTGTCTTTCATGAGATCAAATGAGGTTCATGACCACTCAGTCACACTTGGTCTCCTGTAAGTCACTTACCTTTCTTAAAAATTTCATAACGTATGGAAAATCCTGCTCCGTGTGTCTCATAGTCAGAGACAAATTTGATAAAGAGAAATGGCCCTGAAGACACGAAAGAAGAAGGGGCGATCTTTCCACAGAACTTTCCCAATACACGTCCATTTTCGTTTTCTCCATCGATGACCTCCACATAGTCATACCTGAGACAAAGGTGGAAGGAAACATCAGGTTAGGGAGAAAAGTCCTTTTAATTTCAGTCATTTAGAAGCCAGCATTCTCCACCATGGTCTGTCAGGAGAAAAAATAAGTGATATCTGCATTCACTGCTGGATTTCACAGAAAGGGAAAAAAAAGTCTAGCAAAATGAAATAATTAAAATGGACTACATCATGTCCGTGCACATCATCTGGTAACACAGAACTGTTAAGAATAATGGTGTCTATTATACTCGCAGACAATGTCAGTTAAAGTAACCAATTAACAAGAAAAAGGAAAATCTCATGAGTACAATTCTCTATTATTAAGTTGTGTTCCTTTGTCTGGGGTTGGGGGGGTGTCAATACATAATGCTATGCATTCTTTTCAAACTGTGAAGTTCTTTTATGAATTCAAAATGTCTCCTTGGCTGGAGCTCTCCATGAATAATACTTTGATTTCTGTGAGCGACCCTCTAAACATATGGCCACAGAATAATAAACAGATTCTTTACTATTTAACTCAATTCCATCAAACTCCAGGCTTCGCAGGAAAAAAAATCTCTCTCAGTATCCACTGTGGTCAAAACAAAGATTTTCTTCTCCCCAAACTACAACTTGAACTGCAGAACATAATCTCTACAAAGAAAAAAGTTTATTTAAAATTTGAAAGTAAGTGTTTACTACCAGCCTGAATTTTTAAAGGAATGCTGTCCCTGGAAAAGAAAATATGACAGACTTGGAATCATCAAAGTGATATGATTTTTAAAAATTTGGCTTAATGATAATACACTGAGATAAATGATAAAGGGGGTAGCAATAAAATACTAGCCTAAAGAATGCACTGAGATAATGCATATGCTTGGGTGAACCTTCTTCATCTCTAAAATATGGAAATCCATCTCCAGTAAATAGCATCTCCTAGGAAAACAGGAATATTTTTGTTTGTTTGGCATTATCTATTTCTTAGTGTCTTGCTCTTCCTTTTCTTTTTATTATTTATTTGCCAAGTCACCTACGAGTCAGATAACCTGATAATCTCATTTAGATTCCATATTTCTTCTAGAACTGACATGAAGACATTACAATCCATTCATTTCAAACCTGCATTTCTCTGTTGAACTTGATTCAAAAGTCCTGGGATATATTCATTTCAGGAATGGCTAAAATATAGCAGTAACATAAACTGCATCTGGCAATTTAAAAGAGATCAAAGTGGGGGAAATCCTCATGATGACCAATGTCATCCTTACCAATCCTTTCAAACTGTCCAGGACACATGACTTACGTTTATGTAAAGTCTCATGAGACAACTGCAAAGATGCTATCACGAGTCCAAGTGGATAGCTTAAGGCTCTCTCAATTAAAAATGACATTACCTCATCAGTTAAGATTGTGTGCCAGCCTTGAGTATATCAAGAAGAAAATAAAGCTGACAGTGATGGAATGAAGTATTAACATATGTGAATTATTGTATTAACTGCATTTCCCCTGCTGCATCTGCTGATTGCAAGAGAAATCACTGGCCAGTGAGCATCACTGTCCTTTGAAAAACTATGGAGCCACACAGAGGAACTGTTTGTTTCTCTATACATTGGGAGATGCTTTGTATGCTCAGACAAAAGAGGAGGAGGCAGAGGAGGAGAACTGCAGGATGAGGAGGAGGAAGAGGATGAAGACGGTGTTATGTTCAAACTCCTCAGTGGCTTTTTATAGTCAACCGAGGGCCAATGGAAAGAACCCTGTCTCTGTACTCCTGAAAGCCTCACAAGCTGGCATTTATGCAGTAATTCCTTTTATCTCTGCAGCTTCATTGACTAGGCAGGTCTGCGCAGTTTACCCCACACTCGCTTATAATTTAACTGTGATTTGAGAGGCTGGCTGTGCTTGGCCTGTTGACCGTGCGTCCAGCACTGCTCTATAGGCTTTTTACTTGCATCCCGACATGGTCTGAATACTAAGTGGCCACATCCTAGTGCATTTTGCCTTCCAGACACAAATCAGAGAGGTGGGTCAGGCATTCTGAAGACTAAAGGGCATTTCTGCAAGGAGACCTCTCTCCCAGGTATGAGAGAACTCAGCTATTAGACTGCTGGGGATGTATAACGGGAGGAAGCTAGTCTTTTAATCCACATTATCTGCTAGTGGTTAAATTCTAAGCTCTCCTCTTGGCAACAGTAAAAGCTATTTTTAAAAGGGGCAGAGGGACTAGACGTTCTACCCAGCAAGATATGTCACCACATCTTAAGTGCCAATTTTAGGCAATGGGATTTTTCGGGGACACAATAGTTACATTTATATGCCAGGATGCTGCTATCATTTTAACACTTCCCTTCCCGGTACCATCCGACAGGCGCCCCCAAATGTATCACAGAGAGCGGTTCATGTAAATATTCAGGAGGGTGTACGTGTACAAATTGCAAAGGGTGATAGTGCCAAGGGAGTTAAAAAAGCAGCCAGCCTCTCCTTCTGAAGTTGAGACCAGTTCCACTCCATAAGTTTCTTGCTGGCAAATGTGATGCCAGGAATGCAGCTGGTGTGTCAGCATCCCTCCCCGGAGACTTAATGTGTCACCACAGCAACGCACCCAGCCTGCATTGGCCTGAGGCCCAGGATTCTGAGTTTGCAAATTTCAGTCCCCCAGCCGGCTGCACTGCTCTGTTACTGCTGCTGGCGCGGCAAGCACCACGTTCCTTGAGATGCTAGCATCCTTGGTCCTGATACCAGAGACCTGCACAGGTGAGCCTGGAGGCACCTGTCTGACTTGCATTCTGGACCCACAAGCTTGGGCTCGGAAGGAGAGCTGGAGATGGTGTCTTGGGACTCTAATTCAGAGAAGCTAGAGGAGGGTTCATGGGCTTCCCAGGCGGTGCGCCTGCCAATGCAGGAGACATAAGAGACTTGGGTTCGATCCCTGGGTCGGGAAGATGCCCTGGAGGAAGCCATGGTAACCCACTCCAGTATTCTTGCCTGGAGAACCCCCATGGACAGAGGCGCCTGGCTGGCTACAGTCCAGAGGGTCACAAAGAGTCGGACACGACTGATGCAACATAGCACATGGAGGAGGGGTCACAAAGTCAACCCATTTGTTTCTTTGGAGTCCTGCTCCGGAAAAAGAATGTTCCAGGTGACAAGGAGGCTGCATCTGGGTCCACAGTGTACCACCCACCTGTGCAGGAAAGCCCTTCCTCAGACATCACCGCCCCACGTTTCATCACAGGAATGCCAGTATCTTGTGGATTTGGCCATCTCTTTAAAAAAAATTGTCTTTTAAAATAATTTTGGCTGTGCTGCATGGTTTGTGGGATCTTAGTTCCCTGACCATGGATCAAATCCAGACCCCCTGCATTGGACTTGCAGAGTCCTAACCACTGGATCGTCAGGGAATTTTCCCCCATCTCTCTTCTTAAACCTTCTACCTTAAAGCTTTCACTTCCTGCACGAATAATGGTAAAGCAGCCAACCTTTACTGGGAATAAAGCAAAGCTCTCTGCTTAACCTTCTTACAATTAAAGATCTTTCCCCAAGGTTTCCTTTTTCAGGTGTGAAGGCTTGGCTGGGGCGGCGGTGGGGCGGGGGCTCTTCTCATGAGTATTCCTGGCTTTAAGCCCAGGCTTCTTAAGTCCCAGGCATCTTGTTGACATATCTCCAACCTCATCCTACCTGGATGTATGTGGGTGGTAAAAACATTTTGAATCCTAATAGTAATCACGAGTTAGGTTTCCCATAAGAGTGATAAAAGAATAAAGATTTCCTTCTAAGAATTCTTGAAAGGATTACTTAGCGATTATTATTATTATTTTCTTCTGGAAAGTTTAAATTATGGTTTTAGGAAAATGGCCAAGGAAGGGGAAAAGTGATGGGAAAATGAGAAATGTCTTCAGTCACTAAAGAGTGGTTTGGGAGGCTTTCTAGGTATGCGGTGCTGAATAGACAAATAGCTCACTTTACTTAAGTCGGGTTTTCTCCTCTGAGTGCAAATGACCCCTGACTCTATGGTGGGGCCAGTTAATGGTTAAAAAAAAAAACAATTAATCCTCTGTAGGGTGTTGTCTTTATGGGGAGCTACTGTACCAACCCCCCTCACAGCTTCTGGACATTCTTGAGTTGTTGAGAAGGGGGATTTTAGGTAATGGTGTCTTTTTAATCTCCTTCCAAAAGGATCTTCCCCTGCGTGCATACCTACGTTAATAATGGAGAAATCCGATACCTGACATCATAAAACAGAGTGAGAAATGATGTTGGCTAACATAATTTTCACCTGCAAAAATGTGTTTCTTTGGATCTTTGGTCTATTTTACACGAGGCATTAATAGCCATCCCAACTGAGCAAGCTGTAAACGATTACTGTGCTGCTGCCCAAGAATTACCTTCCCTATTCCCCAGAAGAGAACAGATTTTTTTTTTTTCCTTAGAGTATTAGAAAGAGGACGGGGATATAAAAATATACAGTGATGGAGTTAGGAGGGGCCAATTAGTTTGCGTCTGTGTTTCTGAGCGATTTTACATGATCCACCTCCTAACTGTTCTGGCTTCCTTGCAATGTTCTAACCAAGGGAAATATAAGAAAAGCCTTATAAGGTTCACAGTCTCTTTCTGGAATAATGTCAAATATGTATGCAGAAAGTATTGTCTGAAGCTTTATAATAATGGGGAAAATGGAAACAAGGCAGATAGAAAGGAAGTAAGAAGGAATTTACATACATTCATCTGGAGGAATACTATGCAGCTATTAAAAAGAATGTTCAACAAAAGTTTCTTATAACAAAGGAAAAATGCTCATGATAAATAAGTGAAAAATCAGAACATAAAATTCTATACACAAGATATCCTCTACTTTTATTTGTATGAAATAAAAGAACAGGAAGGAAATATGCGAAGTGTTAAGTGTTTATCTATGGGTGGTGAGATTATTTCTCTATTATTATTATTATTTTTGTATCTTTCAAAATTTTTGAAATCAGATAAAAGTTATTTTGAAAAGCATTAATATCTATGCATAAAGT